GATCAATCCCATTATTCGTTGGTAAAAGAGTAGTCCAAAAGTTGGCGGTGGGTGTTGATGACTAGCTGCCTTCCCTCTAGTCTTACACTGCTAAATTAGTGACGGCTAGCGCAGATATCCCTCGTGTAGCTTTGCGTGAAATTCAAAACAAACAAACAAACAAACTTCTCTACGACAATACACGTCCACGTGGCATGTTTGACGCAACACAAGATTATGGAGTTGGGTTGGGAAGTTCTCCCCCCACCCACCATATTCTCCAGATATAGCACCATTAGATTACCATCTTTTTCGTTCACTGCAACACCTCCTTAATGGGAAAACGTATGCAAATGTGGAAGGTGTTAAAGAGGACATCGACATGTTTTTCGCTTCAAACACAAGTGATTTATCTAATCAGGGCATTAACAACCTGACTGTAAGATGGATAAGCATCATCGAAAAAGAATGGAGACTATTTCATTTAATAAATGTTTTGATATATAAGTTGTTCGGGTATTTTCATAAAAAAAAAGCGACATTAATTTCTTGACGACCTAATATTTAGTATAATACGGGCAATAAATCCATGTTTCAACATATTTTTAAACAACCTAATATGTGCAAGTACTTCAAATCACACCTAACCCATTTTATTTTCTCTACGTTTCTTGCATGTCTGATTCTACAAATGTCTTATAACACTTATAGAACTACAAGAATAGTACTCAGTATCCAAGCCTGATATTATTTTATATCGCCATTAATCCTGGACTTTATCAGTATACGTAAGTAAACTGTAGTGGCTGGACTTTACTGTTTTACCAATTTTTGGCTCTTGTTATGTATTGAAATCAGATTCAATTACTAAACTTACCATTTGTTCAAAGCAGTCTTAAGTCTTGTAATGCTAGTTCTCTAGAAAAGTTGCAAATGATGCAACTTAACTTTTGTATCCAAATCTGCTAAGCTCTTAAAACAATCCGTTATCCTTTTGATTTCTGAACTATACGTATAGGTCTTAATCTTCTAGAACCCACACAATGTTTTATTTCGTGTAATCTTTGGATTTGATCTTTTGTGCTTAAGGCTGTAAATAATTTACAAAATATTTAATACCATTAACTTCTAAGTCCTACCTGTCTTAATCTTCTTTTACTTTATAAAGATTCTGTTCTGTCTTTTGTGTCTAAAGCTGCTAATCAAGTTGAAACTACTTAAAGTAAATGGTTTATAACTTCTACCAGACTAAATATTTTATTATCTTAAAAAAACCTTAACTGTTTAACCCTAATTGATGTAATTCCTAGAGTCGATCCTTAGCATTTAGAATTGTTAGTAAGTTAAAAAATATCTAGCACCGATAAATACTAAGTCATATCTATTCATAACCTTCTACTGGTATAGAAAAAAAACAAACAACTATCACGTTTAACTCTTAGAGTCTAACAAAATACACAATTCTGCTAATACTGTACAGAAAACGGTTCACTTAATTTCCTAATCCGTATCAATATATTCAGCTTTTGCTAGTACCAACAGAAACTCTAATCCGTGCAATTCCTGACACGGAAATTAGTCTCAGAAGAAGAGTCTAGGATGATTTAGCCTTTTTATCCTCACAGGAAGTGGATCTCTGACCCCCTTGACTCCTATCGGCATACAAGAAGGGAAACCCGTTGTAGGTCATCTAAGCAACCTCATAGACGCTAGCTCTACAGCCTTACCCTACCAAGCAGGTGTGTACAGTAGGAATCTGACGGGTTTCCCCCAAAAGCCAATTATCAGATATTGACAAAAATAGTTATTATAATGTATAAACCATAACTAAACTAGCTCAAAACTGCTAAACTACAAGAAGAATCTCCTCTTTCAAGATCCCAGTTTTTGCTTTAAACCAGTCACAGGGTGAATCTACTGGTAGTTCCATAAAGTATTATGGTTTATTGTTCACTCTGAAATAGTTGTTTCAGTTTGATTGTCTAAAGTTACTATTTTTTATTTTGGTTTTTAATATACATTTATACGAATTGTTTCTAACTGAATAAATAAATATTACATCTCCATTACATTTGTAGGTTGTTGTGGTTTTTATAGGCTCAAAGCAATATGCGAAAAAAAAAACCTGACAGAAATCGTATTCGTAAATATTTCTGTCAAAATACTGAGTAAAATATTTGTTTGAGAAATAAATATCAAATTGTGTTATGTGAATTATAAAATGGTTGTTTGTATGCTAGTAGAAACTTGTTTTTCATTAAGCGATGTTTCACATTTTTAATTTAATGATTTTCCACATATGTTTTAAATGATTATGTATGTATAATTATGTTTATGTTCTTGTACCTACTCCCTTTCTAACTAAGTTGGGAGAGGAATGTGCGGTGGCGGTGTCAAAGCCTGGATGTAAATATAAATCTAACTCGGTTATCTGCAGCTTAAGGATTTACTAACAACCTGGGACCCTACACTTTGATAGATGGACTTTGGTATTACAACCGATTTATAGGGAATCTGAAGTTGTAAAACTTATATTTAAAACTGAACTAGGAACTGCATAAAAAATTATTCTGTTAAAACCATATCACGTTTTATTTTACTATGTTCTTTTGCATGCTAAGTCTTATCTCTTGGATGTGCATGATATGTTATTAATATTTTGACTCTAACAACCCACTTCCCAAAATAGTACCTTTTACTTAACTACTTTGTGCTTTTTTTTTTTTGCTGCAACATATCTTGAATCAACAAAGAAGAAGTTTCTTTCCGTTAATGCATGTCAATACCCATGGTATTATTGATGAAAAATAGATTGAGAAACTTGACCCATTTTATGTTAAAACATTTCTTTCTTACTTATTTTAGAAAATTTAATTTATTATAATTTATAGATATACTGTTAACTATTAAAAAGTTCTGTTTTATCACTCATGAACTGTTTATTTAAATAAACTGAGTGGTTGAAATTAATGTACATTGTTCTGGTACTTTCATGTACTGCCATGCCACTTTATTGGGACCGCTCTCTGATATCGAAATAACGAACGTTGGATATTTTTCTGACATATCACGTGGCCTTCGGGAGTACGCACGACTTGTTTTTCGCATAGCCATTACCAAGTTGGGTAAGAGAAAGGTGTTAACAGAGTTTCAAAGGGGCATGACTGCTGGTGTGCATTTAACAACAGCCTAAATCAAAACCATCATGGAACTAACTAAGTCTACAAATTACTGAGCAACATAGGTTTATCACGAATGGCAAATTGAACATAACACCTCATCAGATAAGCCAAACTCCAGTAGCATGGATAAGGTGAAGAAATTATAGAACAGTTCAATAGAGCTGTGCACGAGACTAGCGCGACACAATGTCCAACTGATATAAGCTTTCAGTAATAACCGAGAAACGTTATTTCCAGTAAACATTACAACGAGTGGGCTATAATAGTAGAAGGCTTAATCGTAAACCAATTGAGTCAACAGTAATGTGTGGAGCGCCACCGTTGGACTCTTGAGGACTGGAAACGAATCCTATAATTTGACGAGTTACGATTCCTCTTTGATTTTGTTTTTTTAATGCATTTATGGAAGAAATAGGCTGTTATTTGAAGAAAGCCACATCAAGCATTGGAACCCACTTGTGTTATTTAAATAATGCAGACAGCGAGAGGTAGTGACATTTTGGTATGTTTTTTTCTTGTCGCGTTTTAGAAGTGGCCGACAGTTATAAAGACTATTTGAACACTGTTGCTAACCAGATTCATTCCTGATTTTTATATTGTTATCCTAACGGCAATGGATGTTTCTAAAACAATAATGAAACCATTCACCGTGATCATATTGGTCATTAACTCCAGGAGCATTTCACAGACGTCCACCTTCGTTATTGACCTACAGAATTATCAGACCCTAACCTCAATGGGCATCTTTTAGAATGAGCTTGCACGGAATATTCAACACAGAAATCATGTTCTAACTACACTGCCACAGCTAAAAACCAAACTACAGGACAAAAGCCTAGGATACCTAGCATCACCTAGTACAATCCATGCCATTAACACCAAAGGTGGCACAACCCGATATTCAGGAGCTGTCCTAATTTAAGTGGGCGGCACTGTACGTCCAGTTTGCTCTCTCTCCCTCTGATTTATTAAACAATGTCTTGCATGTAAAATGCTTTTTTTTTTCTCATTTCATTTCTCAAAAGCTAATTTATAGATAGCATGTGTAGTTTACCCTCTCCTATGCTACCCTTACAAAATTGTTTTTGTTTGCATGTGACGTAGTGATGACGTGTTATGACGTCATACCTTCGCATGTTCTTCCACTAGGCGGTAGTGATATTGAAAACAGCCCATCTCCGGCGAAAGCGGACACCCCTACCTCACCGTCTCTCACCGTTCTGCAACCAGTTCAAAATACGTCATTTAGTGGTGGCACAAGTGGTGGTCCATACGATTCCCTCAACGGTTTCGGGCAATACCCAGGCAAGTGACGTCACTATCGCATAGCCCTCTCAGTACTCACATTTTACCACTTCGAATTTTTATGTACTTAATTAACACAAGTAATATTTTATTAATTTATATCATGATATTTGTGTAGTCAACCTAAAATTACAGCTTTCACTTAAAGGTTTTACCTAAAACACTTTTTATAAGCTGTTTTATTGGTTTTCACATGTGAGCATTTGTATCTAAACACTTAAGTATGCGTATGTGAGTACATATCGGTATACAAGGCAGTTATTAATTCTTTACTTAGGTACATTAATTGGTCTATGTATCCCATTGCATTTATTGTCCTTACGCATTTCAGTAAGTACATTTCACTAAAAAAATCCTCTTAACATCAGGTCTTTCAATTCATCACTTTCTGATAATTATGTGAAATATGATGCAGAGTTGTCCACACATCATGCAGACAGTAGTAAAGAGTCGGCTTTACTATATCATAAGAATTTTCAACTGTTCTTCACTACGGACGAAAAAGAGTCAATAGGAAACAAGAGCAGTAACCTGGCGAAGAACATTTGGATGTATTATCTTGTTACACTTTCAAAGAGAATAATATACTGCTTCACACACGTTGAGTTAAACCTTTCCATAATCGAACATAAGTTTCAAATGGACAGCAACTGCCTGTTGCAGGACCTGAAGACGAAACCTACATTTGTAGGTTTCTATAACAGGCAGTTGCTGTCCATTTAAAACTTAGATTCATTATGAATACTCTGCCTAAACAATCTATGAAACATTACTTTCCATAATCATTTCAAACCCATCAGTTATTAATTACGAAAGTAATGAGCACAATTTCTCACCAGTTATTTCTCACGCTCAGTTTGGAACGTTTGGAACACTATGCAGCACAGTTATTTCTCATGCTCAGTTTGAAACGTTCGCGACACAATGCAGCACAGCTATTTCTCTGTTCAGTTTGAAACATTTGCGACACAATGCAGCACAGTTATTTCTCTGCTCAGTTTGAAACGTTCGCAACATAGTGCAGTATTCCGTTTCAGGTATAAAAACAAATAGCGTTCATTTCAAAGAACCAGATCTCTTCACCATGAACCAAAATGACGAGGTTCGTAACTTCATTAATAGAAAACACGCAGAATGATTCGCGCTAATTTAATTTTGGTGATTTCAAGAAATACACTTGCATACAAACGAGGATAAATTCTTAAATTGTATTAAAATAGTCACACCGTGGATTTTGGAAATTTCGAAAAATACGTTAATGATTGCTACCAAAATGTGATTTAGAAATAGTCTGGATGACTGTCATTTGGACTTTCTTTGTTATTGGCGTAGCTTCTGATAAATGAAACAGCGTTGATGTGGCTGGCTTTCACTTTTAACAAAAAGATTTTATGGCTATCAAGAAATTCTCTATTTGGATTTAGGCTTATCAGTGACATCATTTTAGATATAGAAACATTTACAACTTAGAGTATGTCATGAAATTGCAATATGCAATTTGAGTTCAATAATAATATTAACCTCACCAAACTTCTCCTCTTTTACATGCTGTATTAACGTCACTCTAATGATGTACATTCTATAAGTCATTGGCAATGTTTTAAAAATGCACAGTAGTAAACATTTTCTTTAAAAAATCACTTCAGTACAGATCTTTTCTCTGGATAATGATAAAATGACTACTTTCATACTCCATAAAACCATATCAACTGAGAGTAAAATAAACTTCTACTTATGCGAAGATGTATCGACTTATCCGCCAGCTGATTATGGTTCGACAAAAAAAAACAAAAAGGAAGGAAGAAAGAAAGAAACAGTAAATAAAATATGCATAATGAGCAGTCCATGACTTCCAAGCTTGTACATTTGTCTATTAAAAACTCATTAGCGTCTGTGGGCTGAAAGCCTTACAGTTCGTGGCATTTAGGGCGAGCATTAAAAACTGTTTTTGTCAAGATTTGGAATACAGCAACTCTATAGTTCTCTCATCCCGGCAATGACAAGTGGGTGAGTTAGCTTCCCTCTTTACTGTGTGGGTGGATCTAATCTGAGCTTAAATACAGTGTGTCATTCATTCACAAACTGCGTCACAGTTGTCGTCCCTCCATTACCTCCTTACCGTTTGCAAAATAATGAAAGAATATAAGAGTGAAAGTCTTGTATATGTGTTGAAGTTAAGTTTTCCTTGACTGACGAGGTTTTTGTCTATAAAATTTATTTTTCTAAAGTTCTGCATGGTCACAATATCTTTTTTCCATGGTTTTGTAATCTTAATTCTCGCCAGCGAACTCTAGTGACATCATATGTTTCGTATTGAAACCGAATTTTCTTATATTGCTTTGTAGTTAGACAGGCAGCGGTAAATAAATACATATATACATCAACTGTTAAATTCAAGAGTACATGGAAAAGGAATGGGTGAGCTGAACAGAAGACTTACAACTTATAGTATTGCCCGTTTGGGTTTATTAACATATTATTGTTTCCCCATTTGTAACAGGGAGTGGAGTTCCAGGCCCTGGAGTTGCTGGCAGCGAGTATAGTTACACATCACCGTACTCACAATATCCATCAGCCGCTGCATATGGAGCCTACGGCTACGGACCAAGTGGTATTATAAGTACGTGTTTTTTTGTTTGTTTCTTTTTACCAGAAAGCTTCTTGATACACACACACATATATATATTATCTGTTCATGAGTCATGTATAAGGACTGTATGTTCGTATCTCATGTTGTTGCTGTTGAAAAAACTATTTAAACATAAAACTTTGAGAAACGTTAACAATGTAATTGTGCTTCATTTATCGAACTTCTTTTTATTCATTAATCTGCTCGGTAATCTCATAAATTACGTCCTACAACCTTTAATGTTTTGTTAGCTTACAGCTTGATCATCATTAATCGTTAGATTTTTTGTTAGCTTACAGCTTGATGATCATAAATCGTTAGATTTTTTTGTTTGCTAACAGCTTGGTGATCATTGATAGTTAGATTTTTTGTTAGCTTACAGCTTGATTTTCATGAATCGGTAGATTTTTTTGTTAGCTTACCGCTTGATAATCATAATCGTTAGACAAAGTCTTGATTATCAGAAGAAAAAAATCACTGAAATATTCATTCGTTCTCTTGATAAATCTTGAGCATTTATTTGACAGAAGTTTGCTTTTGTTATATATTATTAAATTTTAAGTAGCTTTGTTATATTTTTATCCATTGTCATACCCTAATGTTTAAATTACTAGCTAAATGTTCTTACAACTTCGCTAATTTTTGTAATAAAGGTCAAAGCAACATTTCCTTGACGCAAGGAAATATGAGAACGTACATATTTTGACAATATGAAAACAAGCTCTGTTTTCTTTATTTAGACCCGTCCTACTACTATGCTCATAGTGCACGACCAGCATCCTCAAACGGCCCTGCTCTGAATGGCCCTCCCATCAGTCCAAACGCCTTTAAAACAGAAAGGTGCTAGTTGGTTAGACCAATTGCATCAGGATGTTAACTGTACTATCCAATGGACGTCATAGTTGATAACCTCCAGAGCCCTCTAGTGTCATTATCTCTTCCACAAGTATAAAATTCGACCTCTAAAATAGTGAGAAAAGCTTGACCAAGAGGCATAACCCGTTGGACCATCAGAAGGTTCATATCAAGAAATTATCTATAGGGTGTGTTCTACCTCCTCTACAGACTAAGTCAATCGCATCCAAAGAATAAAAGCTTAAAGAATAAAAACAGACAAATAATTCTGAGGACGGAAAACTGTGTAGAAATGTAAGTTATCTCCTATTTACACGTGCAGTTAATGGCACAACAAGACATTGATTGGCATTGGACCATGATGCTTTCGCTAAACGTACAATAGCTTAAGTCTAACATCGTTCTGATTTTGTGGTGGAATAGGATTCGACAGGAGAGGTCATCGAACCCTCACCTACTTATAACACAAATGAGGTTAACGAAATATATGAAATCTATAAAATTTTATCCACGTACTCAGTGTGTCTGTTTTCCATGTTCAGTGAAAAAGAAAAAAACAACATTCGCTGTTATCCTTGACTTACATACATTGAAACCAAAGATTCTATGCTATTCATGTTATTAATTCATTCACATTAGGGTTTCGAATTATTGTCAATGTCAAATTTCATTCTCCATTTCGTTTTGTTTTTTCAAAGGGGCTGCATGTAGCTCGGACTACTTATAAACCAGGGTCATTTTGATTTGAGTTGACTTGGAGAGTACCAGGACCTCTACGATGGTGTTTCTAAAACATGAACACGTATAACGGAAAACCAGAAGTTCTATAAATGACGTGATTAAGTTTTTCGTTCATATGTAGTTCTTGTGTTTTTTTATGATTTGAGAAGGTATTTATGCTATTGAAGGTACTCATCTCTGTCTTAGAGTTCCTGGTGTAATAGATTTAATGATTGTACAAAGTAGTCATGCATACTTGTCATAGTCATATTTATATATAATGTTGTGTGTATAAGTTTAAATTGACTTTATATTCTGGAAGGCTAAGGCTACATGGTCTGGCTCATTCATGAGAAAAAAAATATCAGTTATGAACTGGAAGAAATAATCTGTGTGGGAAAAGTTTTGCATGACGTAATGCACTAAAATAATTCTACTCGTTACATTTATACTGGTATGAATTATGTGTTAATGTAATAATAGGGCACATTTGCAAAATACTTACCTTGGGTTAGGTATTTCCCTCTTTTTTTTCCTGCTCGTTCTTTGCCTTTTAACAAGTAGAACAGTAATGAAGAGATAAGCAAACCCATTTATTGTATAGACAGTAGATTATCTACTCGTGTAATTTTTACGTAAAGTAAATATATATATATATTTGCCGAAAGTGGCAAATTTCAACCAAGTTTAGTTTATTTAAGACAGCGTAATTTCAGTAATTTTATTGCTCGGGTTAGGTAGCGTCTAAGGTAAATATTTCTGTAGAAAGTCGAGAATATATATATATATATTAATGTTTTTGTCTTTTCATTTTACCGTGTCCCACATTTTGTTAATAACGAAAGGCTTCATTACTTAAACAATGGTCTTGAATACCTAATTACATTTGTTGTAGAATTGTTTTTCAAATGACGTGTTCCTATTTATATGTGACGATTGGCAGCAGCATCATGACTTTCCTGTGTAACGTATTCGTCCATGTTAAAAAAATAACCCACATTGTTTATTTAATAAAAAAAAACAGTGTAGTCAAAATAAAGAAATCAACACCTTGCTTTGTATATCTTGGGACTCTCTTCGTACTTAATATATAAACTGTTTATTAATAAACATAACGTTACTTTTGCAAATCATCTTTTGTAGCATACAAATATGCATTTCGTTCATATGGTGTAAACTGGCATATTAAACAAAGCTTCCACTTTTAATTAAACCAATCGCAAACAGTTCTTGTACATACCTAAAATAAAGAGGGATTTTAAAAATAAAAGCTCCTTGTGTTACAACGTTTTAAAACTATATACATGTAGTGAAATCCTAGGGTAAAGTTAACCTAGTAACTTTGTCGTTCATTGACTGAATACATGTCAAGTGGAAACTTTTATGATTTTTTTTTTCACATAGAAATGTTTATAAAATACTAGTAATGACGCTTAACACCGAGAATTTCAACTTTAAGCTCATGTTCTAAATAAGGATTTACATGATCATGTATCAGTTACATAACTGAAAAGATTCAGTGTGGACTTGAAAAGCTCAGCACGGCATGTATAAACCATATACCATGAGCAAAATAATGGGAAAGCAGAGAATTACTTTTTAAAGGATTAAGTTTTTGCTACAATCTGAATCCTAATATAAAAAAAAAACAGTAACCAAATTTCAGACATTAATTTCCTAAAAAATATAAATATTTATGATGCGTCATTCAAATGCGTATATATATATATATATTCCACTTGTTGATATTTTAAAATGTAAAAGTGATAAAATGACATCTTCCGCTCACACCTTGGAAACTTGTTTCATGTATAATCCTTATATATAAATAAAGAAAAAAAAAGAAGAGAAGTTTATAGGGAAACCGCTTCTCCAAAAAATTAAAAACGCAATGTGTGATAACATCAACATTGTAAGACTATTAAAACGTTGAACTCGTTCGAGTTCTTATATTTAATAACCGACGCTGATCTGAAACGAACATTTAGATCTTATGAAATTAGCCATCAACTATATATATATTAACTAATGATATCAACAAACCAGACCTGTAGACCTTCTTGTACGTATAAAATACTTTATTTTCTTGGAAGTGTATTTTATTCCTACTGCTGTATTTGATGTGGGTTATTGTAGGATAGATATTTATATTCCAGATTTTGTTTTGTTTTTGTTGTGTTTTTTTTTCAGTGTCACAAACTCCAGCTCAGATCTCTGATGTCAAAAGCTGTGCTTTATTGTACGATTTGGTGTAAATGTTTTATGCTCAAAAGCTGAGGAAAATAAACACGGCTATCGAGAATCATGCGAATGAGTTTATATTACTATTTGTTATTACACTCGCACAGTCAAACTAAATATATATAACCTATAGTGTCATAATATGCAAAAGAGGTGCACAATTTCAACGTGATTCAAGATAATTTTAACTGAAAAGTCAGTAAATTATTTGTAAAGAACCATAACAAATATAGATATATGCTGTTTGAAATCAATTGAACGTTAATTAGATATAAACAAATAAATATTTTATACATTTATACATTTTACATAAATTAAAAATCTCCCACCAATGAGCGAAAAATAATTAAAATCGTGAAAATTGTATAATAATAGTATTTACGGTATACTCTATAAATTAGAAAAATATATATATATCCTAGAAAATCTATAATATTTTAAGAAAACAAAATTCCTAAAAGTATAAAAACGTATAAAGATAAAACCTAATACAACAGAAAATCTAGGAGTTCTTAGCTTACTATATGGATACAAATGTGAAGGGAAGGCTGTTTAAAAGTCATTTTATGATCTGAGTGCTGTGGAAGGTAATTAAAACAAAGTCTCTGGGCTTTCTCTTTAGAAGATGAAAACAGGGCAAATAAAAAAACAACTCTTTTGGTTCCGATACAAAGTTTGCACACGGTTTTAAAAAATATTTATTAGCCGATATCAGATTAATGAGTAGAAATCTCACATGATATTGATATAGCTTCGTTCCTAATATTATTTTCCGCCTACGTAAAGACCATTATAAATGTTACAAGGTAAACAGTAAAATGTGTTATTTTTTTGTTTCAATCAGAATTGGAATTTAAACTTACAAAAAAAAACACTCTCGGTAAGGTAAAGAATCCGTTTAGCTTTTTAAACATAACCTTTCTGACATACTTCACAGTTTGACCTTTTATAGCGATGAACATTTTTCTTTCTTAAAAGATACGGTTTAAATGCTGAAAGGCCCGCCAGGTGGTAAGGGCGCTCGACTCGCAATCTGAGGGTCGCGGGTTCGAATCCCCATCCCACCAAACATGCTAGCCCTTTCAGCCG